CCGCGCTAGCGCGCGCAGGCTCGCGCGCAGAGCGGCCGGCTAATCTGGCGCGACCAACGCAACCGCGGTGGCGATGACCTCTGGGGACTTCCCAGCGCGTCTCGCAGGCCGCGCTGACGCGCGGGCCTTGCAGTGCGAGAACATGTATCCCTATCCCTGCCCCTGCCACCATGCCGACCAACATCCCTATATCCTTCTGCCCCTCCGTCAATATATCCGCCGACCCCTTGGGGTCTCTAGGCGTGTGAGATAGTTCCCCCCCCAAAAAACCCTCCCCAGGGACCCGAAACCAGAGATTTGACCCCCCCCCCCTCGCCGACTACGACCCCCCGCCGAACGCGCCAAGGGGGAGCAGAGGGCCCAAAAACGGGCCAAGAGCGCACCAAGGGGTCTCCGAGACAGTCCAAAAAGGCCTTGAGTAGCCAAAAGAGCGGTCCAAGACGACCAGGATGACTCCAAGACAAGCAAAGAGACCTCCAAAACGGCCCAAGAGGCCTCCAAGATGCGTCCCAAGAGGGTCCCTAGACGCAAAAATGGGCCCATTCCCTTCGTAAAACGTACACTTGTCACAAATTCGCCTTCTGGGCTTTCCGATGCCCCCAGACGGCCCAAGAGGCCCCCAATACCGCCCCAAGACGGCCCAAGAAGCCCCCAAGAGAGGGCCCCAAGACGGCCCAACAGGCGTCAAAGACGGCCCAAGAGGGCCCCGAAGACGGCCCCAAGAACGCTCCAGGAGCGCTCCATGGGCCTCCAAGAGAGCTCAATATAGTCCCACACGGTCCAAAAGCGATCAAAGACGCCGAAGATGGCCTCCAGACGGCCCAAGATGCCCCCAAGAGGCCCCAAGAGGCATCCAAGATGCGTCCCAAGAGGGCCTCTAGACGCAACAACTGGCCCGCTCCCATCGTAAAGCGTACATTTTTCACAAATTCGCTTTTTGGGCTTTCCGACGCTCCCAGACGGCCCAACAGGCCCCCAAGACCGCCCCAAGACGGCCCAAGAAGCCTCCAAGAGGGCCCCAGGACAGCCGAAGAGGGCCCCAAGACGGCTCAAGAGGCGCCGAAGACGGCCCAAGAGAGCCCCGAAGACGGCCCCGAGAGCGCTCCAGGAACGCTCCAAGTGCTTCCAAGAGAGCTCAACATGGTCCCAGACGGTCCAAGAGCGATCGAGGACACCCGAGATGGCCTCCAGATGGCCCAAGACGCCCCCAAGAGGCCTCCAAGATACGCCCCAAGAGGGTCCCTAGACGCAGAAATGTGTTCATTTCCTTCGTGAAACGTATATGTTTCACAAATTCGCCCCGTGGGCTTTCCGACGTTCCAAGACGGCCCAAGAGGCCCCGAAGACCGGCCTAATACGGCCCAAGAGGCCCCCAAGACGGCCCCACGACGGCCCCAGATGGCCCGAGACGGCCCAAGAGGTCCCCAAGACGGCCCAAGAAGGCTCCAAGACGGCACCAAGAGTGGCCCAAGAGGGCAACCAAAAATTCAAAAATCTAGCTTTCCGCCCCCACGAGCCCCCAAGAATGCCCCAAGAGGCCGCCAGAGGCCCCCAAGAGGCCGCCAAGACGCCCCAAGGAGCCCCCAAGAGGCCCCCAGGAGGCCCCCCAAAGACCCCCAGACGCTTCCGTATTGCGAGCCGTGAAGCCAACTGCAATGCACTCCGCGCGTACAGCCTTGCTCTTCCTCGTGAAGTGCTCGCTATCTTGCTCGGCGCTAATGTGCTGCTACCGCGCGAACTGTTTCGTGCGCGCTGCGAACGTCAACGGCCTCTTCACCCGTTACGACTCATCTGCCACATCTTTCGCGGCGGTGCCTCGCTGATCACAGCTTCCGCGCACCACTCTTGCTCCTTTCGTCTTCCGGTGGTCCTCCACTTGGCTGCGGGTCAAAAGGCCGACCTCCCAGAAGGACACCCCGCACCGGGGTGCACAGCACGCAAGGCGCTCGCAAAACACGCACCAGACCTCCGGCATCACGCAAACATTTGGACCCCCTACGTATCTGCCACCACCCGCGCGCGACATCGCACCCTCACACAAGACGCCGCTGGCCTCGCAACACTCACAGAAGGGGTCGGCGGATGCGGCGCAAGCCTGTAGAATCCCTATACCCCTATGTTCCTATATCCATGTATCCCTATCCCCCCGTCGTGGCCACCCTTCGAAGCCCCCCATCGTGGCCGCCCCTCATCGTACCTGTGTAAACCTTGTTAGGGCCTTCTGTCGCAAGAGTGTCATTTGACTGGGGTGGTGCCCGTTTCGCGAGCGCGTGTGGCCTGCATTTTGTTACCTGACAGTGATGGCGCTTGTTTCGCGCGCGTGTGGCCAGCTGACTCGCTCGAGCTGCCTACCTTGATTCCTGCCCCTATCCTTATTCCTTTTTCGTATCGGCTCCCAGTCCGCCACTCAACCGACCGATGATGAGGACTCAACCCTGGGGTCCCATCCAGCTCATCACACAAACAGTACAACGCCAAACATTGACGTTGTTGTCGTCGATGGTCCAGAATGCGTGGCAGGAGTGAGAAGCGGCGCGCATCGCGCACAACAGATTTCATGAAAGGTGAGCTCCCGCTTAGGCGCGGCGCGTTTCTATCATGTGGCGTTCACTCTCTGGCGCGGCGCATGTTTTTCGGTCGCCGAGTCGCGGGAAAGAGGCGGCGGGGCCGCGTGAGCGCAGCCGAAATGCTGTTGTCACCCACGCGCCCCGCAGATTTTGTCTGAAAGTGCTAAGGATGATTCAACGCGGCGGGCGCACGCTTCACCCTGACCGCGCGCATCTTAGGCTACGAAATCTATACATATCCACTGCCCACTGGCCGGGCCCTTCCTGGGCCCAGGAGCTGTGTATACGCCTTCTTGGCCAAGCCAGGGGGGCGTGGCGTATACACCGCTGCTGGGTTCAGGATGGGCCTGGCCAGGGAGCAGTGACTATGTATAGATTCCGTCGCCCTATCATCGGGAGCTTGGCCGCGCGAGCGAGGGCCAGAGGATAGTGCCCTCGCCGCAGTGACGTGCACGCCTTTTCTCAAAGTTCTGCTCGCGCCCGTGCGCAGCCAGAATGCTTTTGCTTCCCCCTCGCCAAGACGCCGGAAGCGAAGCTACGCGCGAACGCCTTCGCTCCCGCCAGTCGAAAGAAGCAGGCAGAAGGCAGATCGAGTACATTGGGTTTGGGTCCGCCGAAAGAACGAACATCACAAGCAACAACAAGCATATCGATTCTTTAAATAGGAAGGCGCTTGAAGTAGACTTGTGCAATACCTGCTTGCATCGACTGGCGTGTAATGGTGGAATGCGCGCCAGTCCCAATACGACATTGCGCAACGACAGGCGTTTTCTGTGGTGCGAGGGAGCGTGGGCGCGGGCGCGGCCCGCTGCCTCGCTCGACCTGGCTGGCTCGGCTCCTCCTCCTGCCTCCTAATATTTCTGTGATTTTCCTCCCTTGTCGCCGTCATTGTCGCCGTCACGATCCTCCTGCTCCTTCGATTGGGCCTCCTGCTACCACGATACCTGCTCTCCCTCCTCCCCTCAGATCTACATCCTGAGCGCGCAAGAGCTATAACACCTATATCCTTCTCGACGGGAAACTACACTTTTCCTCCATTCCCAGAAACAAGCACCCTTAAAGAACCAATGGGGAACTATAACGTGGACCATCTCTAACCACCTATCTAACCATCGAGCCCCGACCCCCCCAAGAACCCCTTCCTCCCCCTCTCCGCCCCCCTCCGACGGTCCGACATCAGCGTCGGGCCAAAATCCGTTCAGAATCTGCCTCCAGACCCCTCGCATGGTCCATCTCGGATCAATATTTGACGGTCCTGGTTCCCAGACTGGGCCCCCAAAGGCCGACGTTGAGAAACAAACTTCTGAGACCCGACGTTGCGAAAAAGATGCAGCAATGATGCGAAGCACGACCAAAGCCCTCATCACAATCTTCCTGCGGCCTGAATCGAGCTGGGTCGATCCGTGAGGCCCTCGGGTCCCGAAGCCAGGCGACGACGCCTGGTGCGAACAAAAACGACGCCCAGATCCCTCCCACAGGAGGCGAACTCTGCGATGTCTTCGTAAGAACGATTCGCGGCTAAGACTGAGGGGCAATTGAACCAAATTAGGCCGAATTGCAAACCGGATTGAAGATGACTACTTAAGCGGGGTGAGGCGAAATCGAGCGGGATTCTGCCAGGTCAGGCCAGGTCTCGACCACGGACATACCAGCTCCGATGCTGAATATGTCCCAAGAGATGCATCCTGACTTCCCTCTCTCTTCTGTCTCGACGACGATGCCTTTTGTTCGAATCCGCCGGCCCCAGAGGTCTCGAGCCCTTCCCCAAGGACAACTTTTCGCCCCGGCATCATTTTTGATTGTCCCAGGGTCCGGCAACGGCCCCCGAAGACCGAGAACCGAGGACGCCAGACCCCCGATACCATGATTTTTGTCGCAACCTCAGCCCCTGAGGTCTCGACCCTTCCCCGGGGCTAGATTTTCGTCCCGAATAATTTTTGACGGCCCCGGGGCCCAGCGGGGGCCCTCTGATGCCGAAAATAACAAGACAGATTTCCTCATGATTCACGACGCGAGGAAGTCAGGTGGGACTGAGAACCAAAAAAAAATGCCGCGACCGACAAGAACCTTGAGATCCGACCCGCCAGAAAATTCAACAGCGCGAAACATCACGACCAGAGTTCCGAACCCAATCTTGCTGCGCCGCTTCGACCCAAATCGATATGTGAGGGTCCCGGGGCCCGACACCGGGCGAAATCGCTCGACTCGAAAAACATGGAGACGCGAGAAAGGATGTGGGGGGGGAGACGCGTGCTCAGTCCATGCCCCTTTTGGGCCCCAAGAGGTGCATCTTTCTTCACTGCCCCCCTTCCATCGGCGCCCCCTCCCTCCTCAGTATGCGACGCCCGAGGAGCTCAGGGAGTCCATCCAGCGGAAGGTATAAGGGCGTCGGCGGCGGCCGTGCCCAGGGCGGGCGCAAAAAAGGGCGCAGGCCTGCTCGCTGGCTGGCCGCTGCCCGCGGGCCAGCAGCACGCCTCGCGCGCGCGCGGGCCCTTCGTCGTCGCTCGTCGTCGCTCGTCGTCGTCGTCGTCGTCGTCGTCGTCGTCGTCTTCGTCGTCGTCGTCGCTCGTCGTCGCTCTCCTTGCTCAGAGCACCCTCATCGTGGCAAAATCACGGCGCGATTTGTTGTTGCTGACTTTGGCTCTGCTTGGATCACCGCTAGGGGTGCTGAGGGGAGAGGGGGTCTTCAGTGAATGCCAAGGTGGGGTATATCTGGCCTAACCTGGCTTAGAAGTGGGCTGCACGTGCCCCAAGCGTCTTCCGCGGGGCAGGGATCAGGGCTAAGTGGGCGCAGCCCACTTAGCAGAGTTACCTCCCCACCTTTAACCACTTGGGCATGTTTAACACATTCACACGCTAGGTTAGGCCAGATATCATGCACATTCGCATCCTCTTAAAAATCCCCTCTGGGCGCGTGGTGCGAAGGCTCCTTCGCGACAGCTGCCTCCCAGAAGACGCCCAAGCTAGGCCTGGTCGAATAGCGCGGGAGCGCCGATGCCAGCGTAGATGCGACCGAGGCGAGCAGTGGAATCGCAATCCCGAACCTGCGCTTTGCGAAGAAAGGCTAGCTGTTCCACTTCAGCGCGCCTGGGAAAGAGAAGGTCGAACGCCCTCGCTCGTCTTGACATGCCCGGTTTATTGAGGAAGCTCGAGACATAATCTATATTCAGCATGTCCGCAAGAGATGTAATCGCCCATGAGCATACTGAGTGTGGCAGGCTGCGGCGTCCAATGCCGAGAGGCTATCGCGAGCTGGCGCCTGGTCACGGATTCAGACCAGCCAGGACCAAGATGGACTCCAGATACCTGCAGGACGCCTTCTGGCCAGCGAAGGAGTGAATAATGCTTCGACCAGTAAAGCGTTCACATGGAAGGGCGGACTTGAAACCTTGCACCAAGGACTTTCGCCCCAGGGAAACCAAGCCCCCAGCGTGAACACCCTCGACCAACAATTCAAAACCACGGAAGCGCGAGCCTCCTGTACACATGCTACATCTATGTTCCGTGCAAGCCTGGCAAAAGCTTCGAACTTATTCCTCTAAGGAGGAGGGGGGCAGAAGAAGGCGAGTGACACAAGCGCCCGAGCATTCCAGGTGCAAAAGCGAAGCGCCTTACTGATATATAATGGCTGGCTGACCCATGTTGGGTTATGAACTGCAGCGGGCCTGGGCGCTGCTGGGCCCCCAGTCGAGCTCGGACTTTGCGAAGGCAAAGGAAGAAAACGAGGCGCGGGCCCCGTTGTCATTGAACCAGCTACCCGCGATGTAGAGGAACCAAAAGCCGATGTCATTGGCGAGCCCTTAGATATCGAGGAGATGTCTCCCAGTGCGCTGCCACTTGGCATCAACAACTCCTCAGGCCAATGAAAGTTTTCGGCGTCATCAAAACCAGGTTGGTGATCTTCATGCGATGGGTGTGACGTCTGTGTGGTTCTAGATGCACATACCACGACTGTTGATGTTGCTCAGGACCGCTTGCGCCTTGGCGGGTTCGAGCTGGAAGTGCTGGCAGGTCTCTGCGTCGACGCCGATGGTCATGGCAAAGTGGTTCACGTCGTTGGTGGTGACTAGCGACCTGGACGTCTACACCATTCGTCCAGTGGATCGATTCCTGGTGATGGGCTTGGAAGTGACGGCGCAGCGCGGACTGTCCCAGAAGAGCGCGGAGATCGGGTCCCACATCTTGTTCAGGGCGCGCTGCTCAAAGCAGACATCCCTGGGCAGGCCTGTCCTGGCTTTGATGTCGTGGAAGCTCCCGTCGCGAGAATCCACCCACTGACTGTTCGAGCTGTTGAAGCTCTCGGTGAACTCTTTCGCAGGGGCCTCGCTGGAGAAGGTGAATCTGTAGCTCTGGCTGATAATATTAAACTGCGACTGAACATGATGCTCCATCACGGGTGTGAAGATCTGGCCCTTTCAACTTTCGAAGTGGGTCTGCCGCATACTGGCCAACATGGCTCTGGGAAGAAATGCCATGCTGATCTGATCGATATGATCGCGATGCTGGCGGCTGCTGGCTACGACTGTCAAAGTGTGGATGTTTGGAACGCCGGGCCTCGAGGCGTGCGGACCAGGTGTCACCCGAATCAGCCGCCGAAGTGCAGAATTCGCAGAAGTCGAGCCGGCTTGTAGCTGGAGGATCGCGCCATTGTGCTTCTGCTGCTGCTGCTGGTGGATGGCTTCGATGTGTTGGCTCTGCACAGCGATCTGTGCAGTGACCGAGGTCTGCAGGGTGCCGACCTGGGTGGCGATGGACGAAGCCAGCGTATTCGTGAGCATGCTGATCTGTCCCTTCATGGTCTCCTCGGGATTCTTCTGCACTTTGGCGATGCGGCCTGGGAGTGCTCAGCTATGGCAGATGGAAGTGCAGGCGATGATGCCCTGATGTTATGAAGTGCCTGCCCTCTAAAGAGGGGAGAGCGCGAATCGAAAGGTTTCCAAGCCCCAGGGGCTCCCCAGAGAGCTTTTTGAGAGCTTTGTATGACATCATAACTTATCAGAAGGGGGAGGGGGGAAATCACCGCGAAACCATATTCCCAAATTAAAGAATGAGGACGATATTTCACAATGACACAACCGAGAGCTTGAGATTGTAGTCTGGCGTATCCTTCCCGTCTGGGGAGTGGGTGGTTGTGCGATTGGACGCGTCTTGAATTCAGTGATGTGCGCTTCTTCCTGCTCTCCCCCTGTTCCTCCTCCTCGCTCTGCACACCTCCATCCTTTTGTTCCTTCCTCTTGGTCCTCCTCCTCCCCCTCCCTCCTTCACTTTCCTTTACCCCTGCCGAAGGCGGGGTTCGGGGGGGACGAGGGAGCTGGAGGGGAGAGGAGAGGGAAGGGAAGGGAGAGCTGGAGGGAAGATGAGGAGGACGATGGGGAAGAGAAGGGGGATAACCTGATAACGAGGAAGAGCCGGAGAAGGAGAGGAGGAGGAGGAGGAGGAGGAGGAGGGGGAGGAGGGTGAGGAACAGAGAGAGGATGCACTGATGTATCTGGTCATCGAAACTCGGAACAGCTCTTCTTGCGTGCAAGTTTCTGAATCGATGTCGTAACAATCGTGCCTTCAGGGATGCGCTCACACCGAAAAGCCTTAGCATGACACACGCCACGATTGCCACTTGTGACCTTAGCCGTTTTGGCTTAAGCATGCTTCCACACTTTGTGAATTTGTTGTTTGCATTTTTGTGAGGTATGGCCGATCCTTGGGACGAAGCGGCTGCCGAATTTGAGGTCGAGGCGGCTCCGAACGAGAATGGCGATACGATATGGGATGATGATCCTGTGTGTGATGAGGCTACCGTGGCGGATCGTCCCCGCGCGGCTGGCAGTGGCGAGGCTGTGGGCGCCGAATCTTCGGACCACCTGGCATCTGCCCCAGCCAGGAAGAGACCCAGACGAATGGAGCTGCAGATTGTGCTGGACGAGCTCGGTGCCGAAGCTGACCGCCCACTATCACTTGAAGAGAGGAGGGCTGCGCAACTGGAGAGGGCCCGTGCTGCCAGGAGAACGTCGGCACCCTCAGCACGAGCCGCAAGTGGGAGTAGCACGGCCATCGTTGATGCAGGCCCTAGGCGGGCTCCACGTCTTGCCAAAGCTCCCCGTGCCAGCGACCTTGTACTACAGGCAATCGATCATGGCCTTATGAAGTCAAAGGGCGATCAATGGCCCCTCCAACCTTTTGTGCGCCAATTTCAAGATCGACTTGAGCATGCTAGAGCAGTAGACAATGAGATGCTGAAGTTGTCTCGCCATGCTCTGGCTTCTGGTCAGGGCAGCGCTGGCTTCAGGGTCAGCACCAAGCTCGCTCTCGCCGACAGGTTGGGCATTTGCCGACATCGCATCGAGCCGAAGATATGCCAGCTGGCGGCAACGAGAATTCACAATGATAGGAATACACGGTACACTCTTGAGGCAGCAATTGCCAACACGCCGAATGTGAAGCTCCTCTTGCACATCGACTACACAATGAACGACGGAACTCCTCTCAAAGTTGGGCTCGGCGACAAGGATTCGAGACAACGTGTTCCAGGTGCGGCACAAGGCCAAGCACCTGGGCAAGCATTAAGAATTAGGTTACCTACAATGCCGACTGTAACAAAGAAGCAGCAAACGGTCACAAAGATAGTACAATATCGTGATGAATACGGTATGTTAGTTGAAACGCAGTCTGGACAACTGTTGTCATTCGTGGGCCGTTCAGCAACGTGGTTGCAGTGCCTTGAGAGGACTACGGCGGAGTGCCTTCACCAGTCGCATCGGGAGCGGAGTGGACGAACCAGCTTCTCGGACAGGTTTGAAAGCAAGACTAGAATGTCAACCTTCGACGGAGCAGGCGCGAACGAGAAGTACGAGACGGACCTGCTCAGGGAAGCGAACGAGGAGGGCACTGGAGGTTGGATCAGGCCGGCCATGACATGGGGAGTCCACAAGATTGCGAACTGCCACAAAAAAGCGTTCACCTTCGTAGACCATCTTATATCTGGGCAAATCGCGTGGGCGAGGTCATTGAATGGTGGTGCCCAGTTCGCTAGATTCGGGCATCACGTCAAGCAAGTTGCAAACTCTATGCTTATGTTTCGGCGAGGTGCCGCTGCGGCATCCGCCGTTAGATATCGCAAGCACCTGTTGAGGCTCTGCCTTAGCCGCGGCACGGACATATTGTATAAGAGATTGGCCTTGTGTATGTTACCGAACGGTGATTGGAGGAATACTCGTCATATCGAAGTGTTCGTGCCAGACGGGGTGGTGTTCGACGAGCGCACGTTGAGGGAGCCTGTGGCCGATGCTATTCGACGCTGCCTGGTCAATTCCAGAATTACTACTAATCCGAGACATCGGTGGACACGGTGTGTTAACGAATTCAACGAATTCTGCCTTCTGGAGGGTCGCCACGGCCTGGCTTCCGCATCGTGGCCATCCTTCGCGTCCGAGGTTCGGCAGGTGCCTCGAGGTCCTCGCGCGGGGGGGGGCGCCCTGCC